TACTTAAACTAGCTACTTCTGTATTATTGAGGCAGCCAAAGCTAACTGAAAACATACTATGTTTAATGACTTATACTTAACAGGGCTCTGCCACACAACTACTTTATATAAAACAACAGCAAATCAACAATGTCTATTTTCAATTTGGCACACTCTAGATATAGTTACTAGCTTTGATCATTAAGCTACAATCATACAGCTACATATTATACGAAATCCTACTCCTTAACCCCCCAGAAACACATACCTGAGTCACAAGATCTTTTGGTAGGTGTGGTTAATGAGGCATGAGCTGTACCTGTACATGGCCCACCTGCAAACAGAGAAGATTTTAAGTCTCAAAATGCCATCTATATTTAACATCTAACACCACATCAAAATTATGCTTAGAAATATAAAGTAAGCTGACAAACAATTGTCTTCAGAAGAACATCTGGAAGTAGTCTACTATTCTCAGTATTTCCTTCCTAGTCAAATCCAAACGTCTTACACTGAAAGAACAGATAAGAAGCTGGAGCAAAGAGATAAGTTGTGTTATACTTCAGTATTTTAAGAGAGTTTTAATAAAGTATCGTTGTAATTGTGATTTTTCCATTGTTGACAAAGGTGCTATTTATGTTGGAATAAAGCTAGAAACTTAGCTAAACAATCTAAAACTAACACACAGGAAGAACTGAGCACTTCCTTGATGTCAACAGAAACCCTGACACAGACTCTAGTAAGATAATGACTTTGCTTCTTATCTTGTTCTCATTATGTTTTCAAAGTGCAGCACAGTCATACATTAATAAACTCTTTGCATGGTTAGGTTTTTTTTGAGCTCTGGACTGTTCCCATTCATTTGGTGTCTGCTTAGTAGTAAATTACTTTCTGGCTTTTTTCTCAACATACATCATCGCTGAAGAGTTCTCCAGAGATCTTGTTAAAATAGCAACCAATTCAGTGCATTCAGCAACTGGCAGGAATAATAAATAAAAATAAAACCTATACTGGGAAGCCAAGACAACCTGACAGTAGCATTACCACTGGTAATGACATATCATAGCTTTGATAATTGGTTATTATAAATTGGATGATGCTAGTTGCACTAGATGACCTTTAAAGGTTCCCTTCTGACTCAAACGACTCTATGATTCTATGATCTAGTAGAGGTTTGGCTATCAAGACACCAATAATCAAGTTTGCATTGAATTTCTTCAGTGTAAGTAATAGCACGCTGTCCATACAGCAGAGCTGAGAAAGGTGGCAGGATAAGCTTTAATCTAAGTCTTCACGTGCCAAGAAATGCTTATTCCCTTTTTTATTCCCCTTCAGTTTTTGTAGATTTTGGTAGAAACACTGTGTATTTTGGGATATGTTTTTCTCTTATTAATTATTTTTAAATTTGACCTGGTTGTAAGCTGTTTGTTTCTTTTTACCTTTTCCCGAGATGCTCTACCTTCAAGTTTTTTTTTTATTTTGACATATTTCTCCAAGCAAAAGGCCTTGGTTACCAATCTACACTGTAACACTCATGGCATCGTAGGACCATGAAAGGAAAGGAAAAGTAGGCAACGGGGACAGAAAGTTGTAAGGGAATTATTGGGGTGCATTTGATTTAACTTCAATGCATTTGAAAGCAAAGATTTCACAGTTTTTACAAGTTTTTCAGTGAAGGGCTTGAGTTTCCTGGTCTCCCCAAAAAATCCACCTCGTAACATACACCATTTCTTAACAGTGCAAGAGGTAATCTTTAATGTGACAGGAAGCTAAAGGCAAGCTGGCAATGGCTTGGCTTGCAAGCAAATGGCTAGACCCTGCTGGGACCATTCTCAAAATTACCACGTCAAAATTACTAGAAAATATTTACATTTATTTATATTTCAGCATCCAACTAAACCTAAGATCTTCACTTGCCACTCTCAATACAATAAGCTAGTATCTATTCTGCACTTCCCTGTATTAGTTTTTGTTTCACTTAATCTTCTTTCATTAGGCATTACCTTCATATATCTTCAATTTGTGTAGCGCAGCATTAGTTTCAACACAGAATATCTGGGGATTTGAATGCATACATGCTTAATAATTACAGGCACGCACAGTGCCTAATAAACAGTGAAGGCTCCCTGTCCTTTGCAGGGCTTCCTTCTGCTACTGTTTTTGTTGTATCATTAAAAATGTCATGCATAATTCAATGCTATGTAGTATGGGCTCAACTGTACAATTCTGTGTGGAAGTCGTTATATTGAATCCTTTAGTGTACATAACACCCAGCACAGATACCTTAATGCTATTTGAAATAAGGGAGTGCATTTTTCATAGCTTTGATAAAAATTCTGCACGAGAGCAAAGCAAAGTCAGCTACAGCAGAGCTTTTTGGCTATACCTGAAAGTAGCTTATGACTTTGAGTGTTTCAGGATAGATCTGTACCTTTGTTCTGAAAAATAACTTTTTCAAGGGAATTTGACTCTGATACACAAAACACTTCAATGCACAGCGAAAGGCCACACGTCTAACTTCTAACATAACACCCACAGGACTGTAGATTTATTTTTCTCAGTATAACCAAGAGATTAAAATGGAAGAATAAAGATATCTTTCTATTCTATATCCAACTAACAGATTAAACAGTGGCTTCTGCTCCTATTTTTTCCAGTACGTGCCTTCTGACATTTACAACTCCTCTTCCAAACAAAAGCAGCTGCCGCTGAGCAATAATGTAGTTCTGAGAGCAGATGATTAAAAATGCAAAAATACTAAAAGCCACTGAAGAAATAATTGTGACAATCACTGAGTCTGCAAATTCAAACACTATTAAGAAAGGACAAAACAAAATCCTTTAACCTGAACACTATATGGCATAGAATGGGTCCCGTTAGTGCAGCTGCTATGTTTTTGGCTTCTCATACAACCAGCTTTCTGGTAGGTACTGCTAACCAATACATCGATTGGGAAAAACAGGTTGTCAAATTACTAAGAACTATGCAACTCAATGAATAAGCAAGCATTTAAAAACAAGGTTTCTCGGGAAAATCTCTGAAGTAGTAAGATTTTATGTATTACCCGTATTTCAGCATTTTTTCTTAATTATTATAGTCTATTCAAATTTATTTATCTGTGTTTATATCGAATGCCTTTCCACATTGCTTACCTATCCTCCTGAAAGACTAAGGATTGCCAAGCAGAACCCATGTTGCAGGACATGCTCTGAGAGGGTGTAACTTGTTAAAGAACCTTCAGAATTGGGGCAGTAAAGTGAAGTGATTCAGACTTTCCCGTGCATGAAAAGAAGCAAAAAATACAAACTCTCCTTCAATCCACAATATTTGAGCCAGGTGCACAGTACTTTGAAGCACAGCATTCTGAATCCCATTGACCAGAGGAAAACTGCAGAATGGAGTGAATCCGTGCTTACATAAGAACACAATATTGCACTGAAACAATTACAGATAATACAAAATCTGTAAGCCAGATAACGAACAAACATGAAAATTAAATTAAGGAGCACAAAGCTTCGTAAGGTTTGTTCCTCTCTGAGCACATCCGAATGCTGCTTTGAGCTTTCAGCACTGTGTTGGTTCCTCCTCTACAGAAAAAGACCAGCTCTGACTATGCAAGAGGCAGGAAGAGGGTGATCATAAAAGAGGAGAATATTCTTGAAAGGCAGTGCTGCTGCAAGAACAAGGAGAATTTTACTTCTATTTGCAATACAGGAAGAAAACATCTTTGAAAATCTGTCAAAACCAGCAATCTAGTAATGTACATTTGCTGAATCGGTAGAAATCTAATCTAATTAATCTACACAATTGAGTTTTTGAAAAAAGTCGTTGATTACAAACACAAATACATAAACAAATGGTGATGTAAATCTCTAACTTCAGTTTCCAGACAGACAGGATAGTCTCTATAGAAATAAAAACAAAGCATTTTAGAGCACTTCACTATTTCCCTGCAGCAGAACGTGTAATTTATGTCACGTCATTACCAAGCTGATAAGAGGATTATACCACATACAAACATATACTTTTAAAAATTTAGTTGTACAAACGTGCCATTATTTGTTCTGTGGATTTTTATCTATGTGCAGCTTTTGCAGAAGGAAATGAAAACCGGAGTACTTTGCTGCTGTTGGTGTATTTAACAACAGAAACAAGTGAAACAGCTACGATTCAGATTCCATTTGACAGCTGTCAGGCTCCCTTAGTTGCTTTTCCTCAGTTTCCCCATTTGCAAAGTAGACATGATACTTCCCTCCTTCATGGATAACATCTGAAGTGTAAAAATGTGCTTTTGAAATTGGCAGTGAAATTATATTATTAGAAATACTTGTATATAAGCTTGATAAGTGGGCAGTTCTAAACCCACATTTGTATTATCTGGCTGAGTTTCCATTTCATGTTCCAAGAGGTCCTTTCACTTTAATAAATGGGACCCTAGGATGCACTATATACTCTGCAATGTGAAGTGACTATAAATCAGAGAGAACAATTAACAGTGGTCTTATTCTGCTGATTTTCATTATATTTTGAAATTATCATGCCACAGGCAGGGAAAGAAGTGTTCATTTCATCAATCTGTGGGCCAGATCTTTCTAGCTTATATGTTAAGAAACGTTCTTCAGATAACACTGGGACTGTAAGGATCAGATTAAAACTTAGGGAAAGATCCTCAAATAATGCCAAAGGCAACTCTTCTACCACACATAGTATATTTTTTCTTATCAAATTTCTAACTCCCACATGTTCTGTACTGGCACCAAATTTTAAGCAGCATTTCTCAGAAGGCAACTCCAATAGCATCCATTTCAGAACAGCTCTGTATTTTGAAGAATTGTTGTAGATCTCCAGACAAAATGTGCTTAAAAAAAAAAAAAAGAAAAAAAAAAAAAAAAAAGCATCTTTTGTGATAAATGTTCAAGAAAACCCACATTTAAAAAATGAAATGAAAAACTGGATTACTGTTAATTTAACATTAAGCTCTAACAAAAGGCTCTTTCTGTACAGAGTACCTTTAAAGAAAATAAAGCTAAAAATAATCTCATAAGATGAAAAACATCTCCTACTGTTACCTAACTTCACAATAATATGAAAAAGCTGAGAGAACAGTTAGTTCTTGTGACATACAGATCCAAAGACTGTAACATCAAACAACAACCAGATGCATTTTCTGTAGTGGAGGTGCGTGTTCTCTTTTTTCCTGATAAAAATTGACAAAATTGAGTAGAAGAAAGAATGTGTAGATCTGGTGAGTTTGTAAGGAAAATCAGAATTACTCCTCATCACCATTATCTAGCTATGACAAAGCTCTGTAGCTTTGTTAGTTATGTGAGTTTAATTGCAATATTAAATCACGTGGGTCAAGTAGGCCAGTTTTGTAGTCAAGAGCAACTTCAGCTGTTACTGCACTCTTTCAGATAGGAGGAAACACCTACTAATTGGTATCAAACAAACAGGTCAGCAGCAAAGCAAATTAATTTCTACAACCATCTCTAACAAGCAAGACAAAATAAATTCTAGCTTGGTTTGTTTATATATTTAATATATTATAAAAGCAGGTACATACGTAACATTCAATCAAAGATGAGCCAGAAGAACATCCCCATAGCCAGAACTATAAAAATGACAGGATATACAAAACTGAGTTGTATAGCAATGAACAGGTCATTTCTCAAGTATTTTTCAGAGCGTGCACAGGAAAGCTGATCTTTCTGACTCCCCTGACAAGCCCAAGCAAAATACAAAACCTGAAGTAGTTTGAAGTAGGTAGAAATCTTTCACGTGTTGCCAGAGAAAAGGCTATTCAACAAAGAAAAAAAAAAAAAGATTTGCTTTGTTTGTTCACTTTTGATGAGGTTATGTTGAAAAAAAATGACAACTTGTATTTTTTTCATTATTACTACTCAGAAGACCAAAAAAAAAGTTATTATGTTCCTAGTACTGTAGTCTGTGTTGCTTTTTACAGTCATGCCTCAATAAGCCATGAAATGTAGACGATAAACATTCAAAAGCTGCAGCAGAAAGAAAACCAATCTCTCACCTTTCTGCCAGGGATCTCTCATGGGAGCCTGCTGCATCTGTGTGCCAGCTGTAGAGCCTCTTATGTACAAAAAGTAAATTCACCAAAATAACTTCATAATTGGTTGCAACTCAGCGTTCACAGCACATGCAAACGTTTAATGAGAGAAACAATGTTTTAAAGCTTTCTTTAAACTTGTCTTGAAAATCATATGCTTGAAATCAAATGCTTGAAAAGCATCTGAAATAATTTGATGAAAATGCTGAAGCTCGATATGCAACAGTTCAAATCTTGAAAGCTATAACAATAAATAGAAAAAAATGTACAGGCATTCAGCCCTGACAATCACATTTAGGCTTCAGAAACAGCACACAGAGTTAAGGTGTGGACAGTGACTGTCACCCTTTCCATGCTGAAATCCCAGCGTATTTTGTGACATTTAAAGCAATACCTCAGGTCTCTGTATATCTTCTTACAAAGTCTTTACTGTAGAAATGCAAAGCATTTAACAGCTCTGAAACATCAGATATTCCTTCTGTCCTTTTTCAGTTGTGGTTTTTGCTAATTTGAGGAGGCCAGGAAGAGTTAAGGACGTAATTAAAATAAAATAATGTCAACTGAAGCTAAGAGCTACTGAAATATCAAATCTGATCCAGCAGCCAGAATTCGAGTTGTTCACGCTGACATTTCTCCTGTCACGTAACAACATGGTTAGTTTTAAACCTGCACAGTGTCAACTTTAGGTCTACTCACACAGTGACAGAAAAATAATGTGACAACCTCAGAGAAAGCAATGAAGACTTGAAACTACACAAAATTATTCCATATTCAGTGTGACCTTTTCCTTACCAAAATACATAAAACCTTCCTTAACAAGCTTTTTTTTTTTTTTAATCCTTTTTAAAAGTGTGGGTAGTTTAAGGTGGAGTAAGGGGCAGAAAGAAGCAGAAGGCCTTTCACAAATTCCTTCTTCCTCTGTTAGAAATAAACAACTCTCCCTCCCAATGAAAAAGGAAACCATTGCCAAAGCAGCCAGTTGATATGGTGACTAACACTAAAGTTACTTCTGCCTTGACTTCCTAAATGAAAAGAGCCAAAGTGAAAGATAAGAATACATTAAAACTACACAGAACTTCAACACACAGAAACTTATCCGCATGGATAAGCAGAGGAACAACAATTAGACTGATTTAACAACCTGTTAAGAAACAGATCATTAAAACCCATGGAAATCTAGACTTGGTAAAGCAGTACCAGCATCAATACATTCCTTATCTGCAAAAGCTCACTGCAGAAAACTTGCTGCCACTGACAATATAAAAGACAGGAAAATTTGAGATGGAAAAAGGCAACTGGAGTAGTATATATGGAAAATAAAACAAACAAAATAATCCTAGAAGTCTTTTCCCCTAAAGCTTCTCATTTCCCTAAAAGCATTTAAAAATCAGTCAAACAAACCATATGCAATACTTCATAAAACCAAAGCATAAGTGAGGGGGGAAAAAACATCCTGAAACTTGCACCACCATCTCTTGGCATAAATTCTTAATGCATTTTTGCTGACCGCAACTGTAATACTGAGAACTGCCTTCCATGTATAAAGCAGCCCTGCTCAGAACTGAGGGTTTGGAAAAAAAAGTCACTGTGACCTGGGCATGGATATGAGAAGCTCAGTAATTGTCACACTGAACTCCTAAAAATTCAGTGCAAGGAACATTTCCTCTCCATCACTCACTGAGTGTTTAAAAAGGAAATGACTACTGGAAATAACAAATAAAAAAACCTACAGTCTTTCCAATACAGAATATAAATCTTACCACATGAGCTTTCTATGGTTCTCTTCAGTCGTCGTAACATGAGTGGAATTTCTTAACTGCCTAAACGACCTGCTACAATTCTGCCCAAACTCTTTACCGTGGGAACTAAACTGCTATAGCAAATGCCTGGATGTGAGATTCTCCTCAGAAGCACGACAGGGAAGAGAGAGAAATGGGGTACATCATGAGACTCCTTCCTGAGCGCTCTCATCTTTCCATTCTCTGATGGGGATTACCTTAATAACCCAATATATTGATTTCTGGTGCATTACTGCAATTCTATTCTGAACAGAACATAGCTGTACATCATCACACAACGCTGCAAAGTATCAGTCTTTAAAGGGCACAGCTACAATGAGAGCAGCGTGTGCCTTACAGAACTTGTTGAAAAATAAATATTGCACAGAAAAGGATGCCCTTAAATTAAAATCAAAAAGACATTTAAAGTTTTTGCATTCTTCATTACAGGAAAGACTCTTCCACTCTGAGACCATTACCCATCAGAAAAGCTCCATCTGTGCATAATTATTTCTGATAAATGGTATTAAGCTTCATTAAAGAGGTAGTGGGGACGTGAGAGAAGACAAAAAGAGCTCTAGCTCTAAATAAATCTCTCCACTGTATTTCACTTAAAATCACCCCAGCAGGAAGTCATAAAGAATTTTTTATAGGTAATATTTTCAAATGCTCTGCAGGCCGTACTGCCTAATATCCATCACCTTGAGTGTATGTTCACAAGCACACAGCGATCCAGGGTGAAGGACATGATTTTTCTCCCTTCTTTCCCTCTCTGTAATCACCTTCCCATATACCCCCAAGTGCTTCTCAGCCACAAGAGAAACACTTTAACACAATTTAATTCGTCACTGAACACAATTCATGAAACCTGACCCAATAAGCACCAGAAAAGCACCCCGTAATGCCAGATAGTAGATCTCTGCTAATAAGCCAGCAGAGGTGCTGAATCCCACTGCCCTGCAAATGCCCAAATGTGATGCTACAGCACAACATTTTACTGGAAGGGTGTTTTAAAGCTTTGTTTTTTATTTTTACATGATACTACAGGTTTCCCCTGGACAAATGCTGGGCAGAAGGAAGAGATGGGTGTTCTGCAGCAACTGTGCGTGTGAAGGAGTGACAAGTTACACAGCAAGTTTACCCTTATTACTGATACCAGAAGGTTCAAGCTTAAACAATAGGAAGTGCCTATCACTTCTTGCTGTATTTCTGAAAGTATTCATTTATATAGGTAGAAAACTTAATTTTAAATTAAGCATTTTATTTTTGTCTAATAAGGTACTGCAATCCCACAACAGCAATTACTGCTTTGTCCATAGCCGTTCTGAATAAACAAGAAGAACATAAATGCAAAGCCTAACTACCTGTAAAAAGAATAAATACTTTTGAAACTCAGTAAAAATCATCCTACGCAAACATTGAACACAACTGAAAGCAATCGTGCCGTATCAAAGATCTCTCAATCCTTGTGCTTTTTTGGCATCCTTATTTTCAGCAGAAAAATAAGTGCAGCTCTAGGAGATTCTCCATCAAAAATGAGTGTGTTTCTCTTACAACTTGTACATCTGTCTACTACACAAGATGCATAGATGAACATAGCTCAAGAGAAATTCTCTCTACGGAGAGAACCTTCTAAAATAAAGCTATGGTTTGAGCAACATGAAACTATAAATTATTCATTTAAGCTTAACTTAAAGAATGCAGATTTTTAAACTCAATATACAGTGTGAACTTGTAAAGAGCTTTAGAGTGAAGCTCTGTATCACAATACACTTCTACTAATTTTAAATTCTTTAGCCTAGCTCAAGGAAAAAATTTTGCCTGATATTTCAAGAGAGAACAAGAAATAAAGAGGCAGGTGACCATGCGAAGCTTAGTTTATCCAAGTGACCTAGCAGGAATTTAAACAAACACGCATTACAGACAACATTATGTGCAACTGCAATGATTAAAAATCAAATAAGTACATATATTAACTTACTATCAGTCTGAGAAAAATTCTCAAAACAAAAATGCCTCAATATTTATATAATTAAATTATTTAAATAATAAAATTAAATGATTAAATTGCATGCTGCATTTCATACAGCTATAAAGTTAACCAGAAACTCCTGTGACCCCTTTTCCTTTGCTCTTTGGTTAACATCATCAATTTGCATTTCCTGAGTAACTTCTACTGTTTACCATCAAAAGACAGACCTCCTTTACTTCCAAAAAGAAGTCAGCAGAACATAACATTGCGAATGACGAGAAACATATTTGTTTCCTCTGCTCTCACTTAGGACTTGTGCACTTACATTCCTCTTTGCTCGGTGAAGTTACATTCAGTTCTGTCAAAAGTTGCTGGTTGGAGTTAGCGGCCTGCGTGGTTAGAGAGGTATTGCTGTTGTCACTGTTTGTTTCTCCAGAGAACAAATCTGACTGGCTGTTGCTTGTGCTGGGAGTTGAGTCATCATCTGGCTGCTTCTTCTGGAAATCTATCAAAATCAAGGTTCCATACGTCATCTCATTTGCTTAATTTAATACATTTTACTCAAATACCAGAATAATGAAAATCACCCCCAAATACCAGCAAAGGTATTATCATTCTGACTGCTCCTGATCTCAAACACCACAAACACTGCAATGTGAAACAGTGCACTAGGTTATCTGAAAGAGAAAATCCTTTGTTAATGTTTATAGCTTCCATTAAAATAAGTAAAGATTTCTTAGTGCGGGAAAAGCCATAATTTTTAATTTTCCAGTTCGTCATGTTTGCCTTTAGTATTAAATGCAGTTATTTATGAGAAGCAGCTCCCTCCTCCATACTTCTTAACTTTAAGCTAGAACCAAAAATGAAATAATACTTCACACTTCAGTTAAACAATAGAGACCATTATCAGTGTATTATGACTTACTGAAAAAGAAAGAACAGAGTACCACTGCACAAAATTAGATCTCAATATATTGTAGGAGCGGGTTCAAGAGAACACAGCAATCCATACCAACCACAGGACAAACTCCTTCCCAGGTTCCCACTCAAGCCACAACTTGTTCACAAAGGGAATTCCTTCTATTCTCATCCAACTTACCCATGTGTTGCCTCTCTGTGCTTAAGTCCTCCAGGGCTACCTGTGCTATGCTCTTCCTTTTGTGCCCGCACTGTCTTACATTCTTACATGCCTGGGCTGAACTGAATCTAGAAATAGTTAGGCAATCCTATCCCCTTCTCTTTTCTCATTCTGTACCTCCCAAGACATAGCTTGGTCAATGCTTAAAAACAAACGAACAAACAAAAAAAACACCAAAACAAAAAACAAAGATGAGTATTTTGCAACAATTAAGCCAGGCACATCCAACCCATGGCCCGGCACAACCTGCAGTGTGGCCACCCACACCACACCACCATGGCACCCAGCCCCATCACTCAGCAACAACTGAAACACTGGTGCCCTATTAACACTGTCTGCATTGTAACAAAAAGAAGAAGAGGGTTCAGTGCAGACCTAGCACAAATTAGGGTAAATAATTTTACGCATTTTGATACCGGCTAAACACGGTCCTGCAAGCAGAGAAAAATACAAAGCCATGATTTTCTGTTCTAATAAAGAAATTTGTGAATAGTTTCAAGATTGCCCAAAAAAATCATAAATTTCTTTGTATACCAGTGATTCTATTCAGTTGGCCATAAATACGCTATCATTCAACTGAAAAATATGATTGTTTCTCTTTATCAGATTTTTAAGCCCTATCTTTAAGCCAGAGAAAAATATCCCTTGCTTCACTATCACACCTTATTCACATCACTGATTTTTTTGGCAGTAGGTGTATTTGTAAACAACTATTTTCAAGGATGAAGTGCAGAAATAGTAAACTTACAGCAAAAGTCTCAGAGGAACATCTTGAGACTTCACTGAGAATTGCAGCTACTGCCATCAAACCAGCCTGGTGCAGCCCAGGTAAGCTAAAAGGTTGGACAGCCACAATCTAAGCCAATGCATGTTCTGCAGCATTGTTTATTATCTGTTTGTAAATTAGACTTTTCTGGGCTGGGAGAAGGAATACATTTCTACCAGTTTCCAGACACTGATTTAACAGTTTAAAATGCATTTCAAACGTGCCAGCCAACACTGCTTCCTCCGTCAGCTGTATCAGACAGGTAATTCTAGGAGCCCTGCAACATGGGAGACAAGACCTTTACTACAACAGTTGAACACAAGTGTTAGCAGCAGTACTCCTCCAGCTGGCAGCTGCCTCTCCACTTTCCAAATCCCTTCTGCTTCAGTGCATGACAGAGAGAGGAAAACTAAGCTGGGGAGGGCAGGATGCTGAACCAGACCACAAAATAAGATTGCCTCAGATGACAAAAGAGAAAAAAAAAAAAGAAAAAAAAAAAAAGCGCTATGTAGGCATCAGTGCAATCAGTGGTATGAGATCTGCTAGCTAGCCGAATACAATTGCCTGCTCCAGCACCAGCATTCCAAGCTGCTCACTGATCTATGACAGTTAGGTTAGACAAGGGGAGTAAATCACTATGGTACGTTAAAGCTATGTGCAACATTATAGCTACACCCCATAGTCCAAACTCCATAGCTAGGATAGGTCCCATTCTCAGGCTTACCTCCAAAACAGATTCAGGTGAAATGTTTTCAAGTGCAAAGCCCCTCTTGCGGGCCTTCCAAATCCCATTGTCTTGATAGTGGATCAGCCACAGCACTAGTCTCAATTCCTACCAGCCATATCACTAATTTCAGCCTGCCATCCTCAGACACCCCCCAGGAATACCCCTCTCCCAGCCAAGTGGATTTTGCTTAACATCCAGTTATTCCCACAAAGCAAAGCATTTCCTCCTAGTAAAGACAGCTGAGGATGAACTGCTTTCACCTCCTGATGTTCTTGAATACATTAAAAAAAAATATAACAAAACAACACCACCACCACAAAGGCAGAATGAATTCATTTTGCAAACATAATGCGTGTATAAGTGAAGGTTGCTTGTTATGACAGAGAGAAAAACAGTGCAGTCTATAAACATTTGCAGACGATGATGCGTCAGAAACACAGGTTGCCAACGTGACACATTGGGACTGGAAAGCACTGTAGTTGAACAGTCCCTAATTGCTGATTTTGGATTCAAAAGTAAATTGCCAGAAAAATTAAGCTGTAACTTCTGCTATGGAAGCCTCAGTCAGAAGTTCAGCTTGGATAAGCACAAGCTCAAAGCCAGGGAAGAGTAGGTGGCAGCAGACAGGAATTCATCTGCATCGACAACAGCCTGGTGGAAAGCTCTTTGGGAACAGACCTATTCGGGCCTCACTAGTTATCAACACAGTTTCATGTAAGTTTGGCTCCTGATCATTATTAGTGTGCTTGTAAAAATCAAGTAAGCTTTGAGTTCTTTGATTCTGCACCAGCTATGATCCAATAAGTGCAGCAATGAGACCTGGAACCATCAGTTTAGAAGCTCCCCAATTCTTCACACCTACAATGAGATAACAGTTCTGGCAGAAGGAGAGCTCACAGCTGGAGACGCTTTGGAAATGACAAATAACGGTTGAGAAAATAAGAGAAGATTGTACAACTTGCCTATAAAGGTGACTGCAGAGACAAAGTGTTTTATATGAGATTGCATCCAAGGCAGCACACAAAAGCAAAGCTGCACTGTGTGTGCATATCAGAAATGGGAACACCTTCATTTTCAAGGAGTGGACAAAAAAAAAGCTTATGCTCAATATTACACATCACGAGGAATCCACAAAATCCGTCAAAAAAGTGAGTGCAGAGTTACAGAAACAGCACTATGGGGTTTATTAAAGTTTGGTAAGCTAAAAATTCACAGGCTATTTTTTTCCTAGATAGATGCAAATACATAGGTAGGACTAGCTCAGTGCCATCCACTAAGGGCATTTACAGATGAATGCAGAACATTTTTTAAGTAAATGGCCTAAATAACAGAAGTCCCGACAGTCTTTTAAAGACAGTGCAGTGGATACCAGTGCTACAGTTGTGTCCCCTAAAGCTCTATTTTTAATAAGCACATAAACTGACTTTATATTTTTTCTGAAGAATTATTCTCTTTATCAACCTGTGGATAAATTCACCAACTTAAAAGAGCATAAAAGGCTGTCAGAAGTCATCATGCTGTGACTGCATTTCCCATTTCCCAACAAGCTTCCTAGTAACATAATTTGAGTAGCAAACATGGCAGCAGAATCCACCATGGCACTAAAAGGCCTTTTACCTTTCCCTCTCCAGGACTTTGTGTTCAGAACTAATTTTTATCCAGTCTGCATCCTATTTTGATTTACATTTTCAAGGAATTTCTGAAATACTGCTTTACAATTTGTGGTCCAGAATTTTACTGCTGCAAATAGGTAACTTATGACATGTTGTATTAGCTGTGCTACACTTTCCTGAGTAAGAGCAGACCGCATTTGGCTTCTTTTAACCAAAAACCTGTTAGCAGGTTAACAGGTAACTGGCAGACCACCTTCATCTCCCTAAAAGGCAGTAAGAGTTGGCAACAATTACAGCACCAATTGTGTCTGAATGAATCCAGTTAACTGCTGAACAAATAAAACAAAACAAAAATATGAACACAATAACAGGCAAGATCCTGGCAAGATCTGAAGGGGAGGTTTCACTCAGATTGAGATCAGAATGTAAACTCTACTGAGAGAACAATGACCTCCCGTTACAGCCTCAGTGGGAAAGAAACCAAAGCAGAACAAGGGTTGGCACGTAATTTATCATTTCCAGAAGTTTTTATTTAACCACAGACACATGCTAAACACCTTCATTAACTTGTCTCTTTTTTACTGAGGCTTTCACTATGCTAGCAAAACCAATGCCAAAACGCACAACGGCTGACTGAAAATACATGAAATTACTCAACATTCTGCTTTCCTAGTTAACAAAATGCAATGCTACGACTTCATGCAGCCTTCTACTGGCACACAGGCTAGGAAGGTTTCTGCACTTGTCAAAAAATGTTTTCTCCTGTTGTTGGCTTTATTAGTTAGCAGGTGGAACCCGCACCCAAATGCAACTTGACAATCAGCTGCTTCTCACATGGGGGATTAGCAGTCGAAAAGAGCTCTCAGTACAACACGTGAAATCAATCCAGGAAGATTGTACTGCATGGATTGAGAAGCTGCTAGTAGCAAGCAGCAACACTGCCAGTTTTTGAGCTCCAAAATCCTTCTGCCTTGTTGTGCTTAAGGGCCACCCCCAGCATTCCAACTCGCAGAGGCAGAAACCTCAGGCAGAACTCTGATGCACTGGATGTTAAT